CCAACATTCCCTAAACCGAGGTAACGAACCCTTTGCTACCACAAACAGAATAATTCCTTAGAAGTTACCTTCCTTTGGGATCATCTGTCCAAAGTTACCTGACAACAGTGGGTGGAGCCATAGCCACGGGTTGGGATGGCCCCTAAAGGTGGGCGGGATTACTGTATCCCATTTCTCTTTCTGCTACCTCCTCTCTCTGTGTGTGTGTATCTCACACTCAGATACACACACACACCTTTCTTTTCCACCTCATTCTCTCTTGCTCTTTTCTTGTTCTCATTCCCTTTTTTACCTGCCAAGCAAGCCGTCTTGGAAAACACAGATCACTCTTAGTAGAGGACTCAGATGATTTTACGGAGAGGACATTTAAAATAAGGTCCTAATGTGGTTGGAAGATGTAGCGGATAGCCTAGACGTCATCTGTCTGTCACTGCGGAACCTTGATGGGAGAGCCAATAGAGAGACCAGAAGGCGGGGCCAGAGAAGAGTTTGAGGGGTCAGGAAGAAGGAGAGAGGGGTTGCTGAAAAGAGGGTTAGATTGCTGGAGGCTTGGGAATTGGACCAGGAGGGTCAGAGACAGATAGGGAGAGTTAAAAGAGTGATTTGAATGAACCAAACCTTGTTTAATATATGTGATTCACTTCCTGTGATTTATACTGCAGTTCCCAACTGAATATTACCCCTACCCTGTTCAATAAACTGATTGTGTTTGGCAGCATAACTGTCCAGTACAGTGGTGCCTCGCATAGCGCTATGTGAAAACATCGCTGAACGGATCAAGAAAACCCATTGGAACGCATTAAACATCGTTTAATGCGTTCCAAATGGGCCGAAAACTCACAGTTCAGCGATGTTTTCCTATGGCCGGCAGCCATTTTCGCGCCCTCCCCTCGCTTACCGAGGGTGCGAAAACGCTGCGCGCGGCCATTTCGGGGCTTCCGGTGGCCATTTTGGAGCCGCTGAACAGCTGATCCGCGGGTTGCAAAGTGAAGGTCGGTAAGCGTTTCGCTTACCGACCTTCGCTATGCGAGTTTCGCCCATTGGTGCCATCGCTTTGCGATCGCAGTTGCGATCGAAAAAAACCCCTCGCTATGGGGATTCGTCGTTCTACGGTGCGCTTGTTAAGCGAGGCGCCACTGTACTTAATTGATGTTAAAGAAATAACATCTGGTGGCAGCGTGAAGAGGAGGAAGGAGTGTGAGCCTTTGTGAGGAAGAAATAAAACAGGGGCCGCAAGGGTGAATGGCACAGAAGGCCACAGGTTTTCCACTCCTGCCTTAAGCTACTCTGAACCCTAGAACCTCTTCCCGTCCTTGAGACTTGATTACAGCAGTATGAGAAGAAACGCAAGGCATGGGAGATGTTTCTCATATTGAGTTCCTGTTGTCCTTATGGAGCCTAAAGTGAAGTTAAAACCAAAACCAGACCATTCTCTTTTACTGCTTATATTATTGAATTTTAGCGTGTGTTACTGCTTCCTGGCACAAAGCCATGGGGTTGGTGAACAGGCCTGGCCGTATGCAGTGTGTAATTATGGTATTTATAATCGTGTTACTGCTCTCTAGATGCCTAGAAAAACACAACTCAGATCCAGTAAACTGGATGCATGCGGGTAGCAAAGTTAAGGCAGGACTTATGTTATTTCATTTTATTTTTATTTTATTTTCTGGCTACACCTTTTCACAAGGGTAGGTGCAAAGAAAACATGTCCGTTCGGTTTTATGGAAACTGTATAATATTTATGGAGTCTGTACGAGACTTACAAATTGAAATGGCTCATAGTGGGAGTTCTACAAACCATGAGGTGGGAAAAGAAAGGGAAAGTGGGATATATTCTATAGACCTAGATATAAATAATATTTCTAGGCTGCCTTTAAGAACAAAGTGCTCTACTTTTTATTTAATTAAAAAACAAAACAATCTATTTTAAAAACTTAAAATTGCAAAAATAAAATTGGCAAGCGGAAGCGAAAAAAGCAATCAACCCAGCAGTATATTAACCGGCTGGTCAAAGGAGATCTTTTTTTAATGCCTTTGATGACTTTCGGAATTTAGTTGAATAGTTTCTAGGAAAAGTCTTAAGTGTGTCAGCGCCCTGATTCTGGTATTACTGTATTTCTAATCCTCTGCTAGATGTGTTCAATTGATTTCAGGGCTATATCATTATAGAGAGTGCCTCAAATAGAACATTTGAATGTTATTCAAAGGCAACAAATACTAGCTGGATGTATCCAATTGATTTCAGGGCTATATCATTATAGAGAGTGCCTCAAATAGAACATTTGAATGTTATTCAAGGGCAACAGATACTAGTTCTTCACGTTTATTTTATTTATTTA